CTTCCAGGAGGCCCTTCTTCAGCCTTCCCACATCATCCTCTGCCTCCTCATTCAGCGCGTCGAGCCACTTCTGGACCCCGTCCTGCGCCTCTGCGCCCCTCACCATGTCCTCCTTCTTCTCCAGGATGGGCCCCAGGGCCCCCAGCATGTGGGCGCGCATGGTCTCGAATTTGAGGACACCACAGGCCCGCGCCATACGCTTCAGTGATTTCTTGGAGAGCCCGAGCCGCAGCAGGGGCTCGATATCCGTGACCTCCTCCACGGTCTTGACGTTGGTCAGCTGGTGCCCCTGGTCCTCAGCATCGCTGTCGGGCGGGGGGTCGTTCTCCTCGCCACGTGCAGGGTATGCGGGGCCAGGTTCATCCTCGAGGGGTGGAGGTGGCGCGCGGGGCGGCCCCGGCACCACCTCACCCGGCATCGGGCGACCGACCTCCTCCGCCACCGTTTCCATGGCTGGGGGGGCCCTCGCGCTCTCGGGATCGATGCCCACCCCGACGCCCTCCGTTGACCTCCGCAGGGCCAGCAGGCCGTCGTCGGAGAGCGCGTACCCCACCAGCACGTCCATGCCCTCCTTGATGCGGTCGAAGCTCGCGCGGAACTTCGCCACTCGCTTGGCGGCGTGGTCGATGGAGCCAGCACCCTTGTTCAGGCGCGCTGCGCGCGTCACGGCCTCGTGCTCGGCGATGTTCTGCGTCGCCGCCACGCAGCGCGAGCACGTGTATAGCTTGTATTGGCCCTGAGCACCCTTCCGCAGCTCGGGGCATTGCGGGTTGCGCTCTGAAGCCTCGGCGTAGCGGCGCATCTCACCACAACTGAGCTCGTCCACGCACTCCACCATCATGATCTTCCAGTCGTCCAGCTCTGAGCACACCCGACACCAGCCCAGGCGCTGCGGCGGGACCCAGTACGCACCCATGCAGCGGACGTAGCCCGCCTCGGCGTAGTCCTCGTCCGCCATCATCTCGGCGTCCTCGAGCGCGGCAGGTGCGCCGCAGCTCGGCGGGGGGGCTTGGCCGTAGGCGGCCTTGTTGCTGCGTCGGCGGTGGCGTTTGCCTCCATGACCGCTGAGGGCGCCCGTGGTCGCTGCACTCGGGGCCTCACTGGCGGTCTCATCGTCCACGGAGCGGCCGCCATCGGCGTCGCTGCGCGCACCTCGGCCACCGCGGCCGCCCACGGCCTGTTCCCGCAGCTGGAGGTTGTGGAGCGCGAGGGTGATCGCGTCCAACCCGCGGCGCTGCTCCGTGGTGAAGTTGGAGTAGGTGGCTGCCGCTGCCAGGGCAGCCCTCGTCACTGGCACCACCGCCGACGTGGGCATCGCGGAGGCCTCAGCAGGCGCCTCGGCCGCCGCCGCGGGGCCTCCGTCCGAGGCACCTTCGGAGGCAACTACCACTACTACTACTACTACTACTACTACTACTACTACTACCACACTACTACTACTACTACTACTACTACTACTACTACTACTACTACTACTACTACTACTACTACTACTAATAATACTACTACGACTACTACTACTACTACTACTACTACTACTACTACTACTACTACTACTACTACTACTACTACTACCTACTACTACTACTACTACTACTACTACTACTACTACTACTACTACGACTACTACTACTACTACTACTACTAACTACTACTACTACACTACTACTACTACGACTACTACTACTACGACTGCTATTTCTAATACTACCACTACTACGACGACTAGTACTACTACCACCACCACCACCACTACTACTACCACTACTACTACTACTACTACTACTACTACTACTACTACCACTACTACTACTAATAATAATACTACTACAACTACTGCTGCGACTACGACTACTACTACTAGTAGCACTACTACTACCACTAATACTACTACTACTACTACTACTACTACTACTACTACTACGACTACTACTACTACTACTATTACTACTACTACTACCACTACTACCACTACTACTACGACTACTTCTTCTTCTACCACTACTACCACTACTACTACGACTACTACTACTACTACTTCTACTACTACTACTACTACCACTACTACTACTACTACGACTACGACTACTAATACGACGACTACTATCACTACTACTATCATTACTGCTAGTACTACTAATAATAATACTATTACTACTACTACTACCACTACTACTACTACTACTACCACTACTACTACTACTACTACAACTACTACTACTTGTCGTAGTAGTACTATTACTACTACTACTACTACTACTACTACTACTACTACTACTACTACTACGACTACTTTTACTACTACTACCACCACGACTACTACTACTACTACTACTACTACTACTACTACTACTACTACTACTACTACGACTACTACCACCACTACTACTACTACTACTACTACTACTACTACTACTACTACTACTACTAATGCTAAACGACTATTACTATTACTACTACCACTACCACGACGACGACTGCGACGACGACAACTACTACTAAACCACTACTACATACTAACTACTACTACTACTACTACTACTACTACTACTACTACTACTACTACTACTACTACTACTACTACTACTACTACTACTACTACTACTACTACTACTACTACTACTACTACTACTACTACTACTACTACTACTGCTACTACCACCTCCCAGGAGCCCACGACAGTGTCGACCGTTGCGCTGTTGGCAAGCCCCATGGAGCCGCGAGGTCCCGACTGGATGCGCTTGGCGTTCCGCTCCGCTGGACCTCCCAGGAGCCCGCGAAGGTGTCGACGGTTGCGCAGTTGGCAGCCCTGCAGCGAGCAGGGCTCGAGCAGGGAGTCCGCTGGGCACCCTTAGGAGCTCGAGCAGGGAGAACGCTGGAGGAACGACAGAGGCAGGGAGACGGAAGGGATCGCGCAAGCAGTATTCTTTTCAGATCGAGTACCCAACCAGAGGAGGGCTGGGAAAAGCATACGGAAAACTTACAGAATTTGTCCCCCTCGATCCTCGAGTGTCGAGGGTAAAATTTGACAGCCGTACCAAGGCATCGACTGAGTATGTTTGAATTTGAATGATTGGTTGCTTGGAGTTGGAAGGTAAACATGTACCTGTTGCATCTATCTCACGGAGCAGCATGACCCGGAGTGCTGCCCGATCTCACGAAAAAAATCATCGTTGCATGGGCGTGTTGCCACACCCCAGCTGGCCCCCCACTGCCCACGCCAGCGGCACAGCACAGGCCCTGGCGCTCCTCCCTCCGACTTGGCGGCCCCGCCCCCCGACAGGAGAAGGTCGCGGAGGCAGACGAGGGTACCAAAGAGGGCGCGAATGACGACGACGACGACGACGACGACGACGACGACGACGACGACGACGACGACGACGACGACGGCGGCGGCGGCGGCGGCGGCGGCGGCGGCGGCGGCGGCGGCCGCGGTGATGGCGGCGGCGTCGGCGGCGACACTGCTGTGGCCACCGTTCGCAATCTCGAGGCTGGTGCTGAGCCTGCGCGAATCGAGGTCACAGCAAGGCCCACACAACAATTCCACGAGGCCCCCACCCCCATGGCCTCTCGACCCCCCCGGCTTCGTGATTTGTTCGCAACGTCGACCCCCAGAGATCTGGACCCCTTCCTCGCGACCAGCTTTCCGTCCTGAGCCGTTTTTGTCGGTCCTGGGACCTGGTGAGGGCCCCCGAGGGCCGAAGATGGCGACAGACCTCCCGTCGCTGCTTGCTTCACGACGCGAGGGGGTCTGGGCCAGCCGGCCCCGCGAGAGGCTGCGGCCCGGCCGAGCTCTTCGACGCGCTGCTGCGCCTGATCAGCCCGGGCACCGGCGGCCGCGAGGCCCCGCCGCCCATAATTTACAGCGCGCCGGCGCAGCGGGCCCGCAGATCTGTCGGGGCGCACGCAACGGGGGTCAGCGCCAGCGAGGGTCGGCCAATCCCCTCCGATCCCCCTACCCTCGGGGGCGGCAAAGAGGGGGGTGATGACTCGGGGGGGGGGGATATCATGGCGTGGGCCATAATATCTCCCCAGATTTCATGGCGTCTCTTCTTGTTTCATTACGTCCCTGGCCCCCCCGCTGGGCCGCGCACATGCCGCCGGTCATGATTTGCACACCACCCTCTTGGACACCCCCCTCTTGGCCGCTCCCGATACCCAGACCCCCTCGCGTTGCGAAATTATCCTGACGAAGGACCCAACCATTTGCAGTTGTGAGTAACGCAGTTGTGGGTATCGTCCTCGGTGAACCTCTCTGTGGGGCCACGACGCGTGTGACGGGTGTGCCAAAGTTGGCACGGGTACGCCATGCGGACCTTGCCACCGGGGCCTTTGATGGAGCCCCATGTGAGGCCACGAAACGTGTGGGGGGCGCGCCGAAATCTGCAGGGTGGAACCGCGTGCGGGCGCTCCTACTAGGGCATTCGGCGAAGCTCCCTATGTGGCCACGAAGCGTGTGAGGGGTGCGCCGAACTGGACGTGGAACTGCATGCGGACCCTGCCACTGGGGCCTTCGGTGGAGTACCCTATGAGGTCACGAAACGTGTGAGGGGTGCGCCGAAATGGAGGTGGAACTGCATGCGGACCCTGCCACTGGGGCCTTCGGCGGAGCACCCTATGGAGCCCCGAAACGTTTGAGGGGTGCGCCGAAATGGAGGTGGAACTACATGCGGACCCTGCCACTAGGGCCTTCGGTGGAGCACCCTATGAGGCCACGAAACACGTGAGAGATGCGCCGGAATTGACGTGGAACTGCACGCGGACCCTGCCACTGGGGCCTTCAGCGGGGCATCCTATTGGGCCACGAAGCGTGTGATGGGTGCGCCGAACTGGACGTGGAACTGCATGCGGACCCTGCCACTGGGGCCTTCGGTGGAGCACCCTATGAGGCCACGAAACACGTGAGAGATGCGCCAGAATTGACGTGGAACTGCACGCGGACCCTGCCACTGGGGCCTTCGGCGGAGCATCCTATTGGGCTACGAAACGTGTGATGGGGGCGCCGAACTGGACGTGGAACGTGGAACTGCATGCGGACCCTGCCACTGGGGCTTTCGGTGGAGCTCCCTACGGAGCCACGAAACGTGTGAGGGGTGCGCCGAAGTGACGGTGAATCTGCATGCAGACCCTGCCACTGGGGCCTTCGGCGGAGCACCCTATGGAGCCCCAAAACGTGTGAGGGGTGCGCCGAAATGACGGTGGAACTGTATGCGGACCCTGCCACTGGGGCCTTCGGCGGAGCACCCTGTGGGGCCACGAAACGTGTGAGAGGTGTGCCGAAATGGAAGTGAAAGTGCGTGCAGACCCTGCCACTGGGGCCTTCGGTGGAGCTCCCTACGGAGCCACGAAACGTGTGAGGGGTGCGCCGAAATGGAGGTGGAACTGCATGCGGACTCTGCCACTGGGGCCTTCGGCGGAGCACCCTATGAGGCCACGAAGCACATGAGGGGTGCGCCGGAATGACGGTGGAACTGCACGCGGACCCTGCCATTGGGGCCTTCGGCGGAACACCCCATGGGGCCACGAAACATGTGAGAGATGCGCCGGACTTGATGTGGAACTGCATGACTCTGCCACTGGGGCCTTCGGTGGAGCACCCTATGGGGCTACGAAACGGGTGATGGGTGCGCCGAAATGGAGGTGGAACTGCATGCGGACCCTGCCACTGGGACCTTCGGTGGAGATCCCTATGGGGCGACGAAGCGTGTGAGGGGTGCGCCGAGATGGGCATGCGAGAGAGCAGAGGCAGGGAGGGGAGAAGGGACTTGGGGGAGGAGCAGGAGGGAGGAGGAACGCGGGGCGCTGTCTGTTCCAAACGAGGACCCAACACCACAGGATGGTTAGGAAAAATCGCGACGGGGGGGGGGGGGGCGATATTTTCAACCTCTGGGGGCCCTTGCGGGGCCCTCGGGGCCGTCGATGAACGACTTGGGACGAAAAACCGGTCCCGGGGGAGAGGCCCGGCCCAGGGGAGAAGAATAATATTAATAAGAAGAATAAGGCGAATAAGAAGAAGAACACGAAGAATAAGAATAAGAAGAATAAGAAGAATAATAATAATAAGAATAAGAAGAACAATATTAATAATAAGAGACGCTGTGAAAGCCTCACGGCGTCGAGGGTTAGGGGGCCAACCCCCTCCGATCCCCCCTCGGCCGGGCGGCCTCCCTCCGTGGACTCCACGGGCGTGGGAGCTGCGGTGCCGCAGGCGGGGGCTCTCGGCACGGCCTCGCGTCTGGCCCGGGGCACAGCGCTGGGGCCCAGGGTTACTCGGGGGCGGCAAAGAGGGGGGTGATGACTCGGGGGGGGGGGATATCATGGCGCGGGCCATGATATTTCCCCAGATCTTCTGGCGCCTCTTCTTATTTCATTACGTCCCTGGCCCCCCCGCTGGGCCGCGCACATGCCGCCGGTCATGATTTGCACCCCCCCCCTCTTGGACACCCCCCTCTTGGCCGCTCCCGAGTTACAGCGCGTCTCCGAAGCTGGGCGTCGGAAGAGAAGGCGACAGCCATCGGAGGAAAGACGCCATGAACATGAAACGTTTGGCGCTCTGCGCGGGTTTCTTGGATCTGCGCTGGGGCCCCCCCGGCGGCGCCTCCAGCGCCGCCCCCAGCGCGCTCCGCGCGCCAGGGAGGCGGCCCCAGCGTGGATCCAAGAAATCCGCGCGGAGCGCCACAAAATTATGATTATGCCGTTTCTTCCTCTTCTAAGCCAGTTGTTCAACGCCTCTGGCCTCTCCGAGGCCGTTTCCTAGTCCCTGGGGACCGCCAAACAACGAGTCGGGATCTCACAGTTCCAATTCGTCTCGTGCTTAGCCACCGCATCATTGTAGTGTGGTTGCGGCCTCTCTTTTGCATGAGTATCTTGATTCACATGTTAATAAGTATGCCTGCATGTAAACACATATTTTCAGATAGTATGGTCAGTGGATTTGCCAGGATGGCTGCTTGCGGTGGTGTTCTCGCAGGGGAGAATGAAAGGGTTCTGAGGAAGGGGCCGAGATCCCTGGAGGCCCGCGTCACAAGAAAGATGCGACCTCGGAAGAGAGGGGACTCGAAGCATCGCGCCGCATCGCCACGTTTCTGTGTGCGTTGCCGACGTCCGTCTGCTGCCTGCTCGCATGCTGCTCCTGTTGGCCGCGGGTTGGAGGCCTCGTCGCAACGGCTGGGCGCGGCCTGAGAAGATGGTCAGGATGGCACGTCTGTTTGGGGCTTCGCTTCGGGCAGTTCTCTGGAGGGGTTGCTGCTCCCTCACAGCGGCAGACCTCCGTGTCGGACGACCTGGCTCGTCCCCCCTCCCCAGACCCCCCACGGCGGGATGTTTTCACAACGTCGACCCCCAGAGGTCTGGACCCCCTTGCCCTGGCCCGGCCTCTCATCTTGAGTCGTTTTTGACGGTCCCGGGGCCCGGCGAGGGCCCCTGGAGGCCGAAAATAGCGAAAAAGTCCCCGTCGTAATTTTTGTCACGACGCGAGGGGGTCTGGGTCCTCTTGTCCGTAGCCGTTTCGGCTCAGGCCATGTTTGGTTCAGGCCACTTTTTCTAGGCCTTCTAGATGGGGTCCGAATAGATGGGGTCGGAGGATCGCGCCGCATCGCCGATGCATCGGCGATGCGGCTCGATGTGGAACCCGATTTTCTTCGCGCTGGCGTCGACGATGCATCGGCGATGCGGCGCGATCCTCCGACCCCATCTTCGGCCTCCAGGGCTTTTCGCTATCTTCGGACTCCAGGGGCACCTCACCGCCCCAGGACCGTCAAAAAGCGACTCGGGATGAAAAACTGCTCGTTGTGGGGCCAAGAAACGTGTGAGGGGTGTCCCAGAATCGGCCCGAGTAACGATGCGGCCGCTACCACTGGGGCCTTCGGTGGACCTCCCTGTGGGGCCACGAACGTGTGAGCGATGGGCCAGACTGGGCCAGAGTAACCATGCGGACGCTACCACGTGGGCCTTCGGTGAAGCTCGCTGTGGGGCCACGAAACGTGTGAGGGGCGTGCCATAATGGACCGGAATAAGCATGCGAACGCCACCACGTATGCCTTCGGTGGAGCTCCCTATGGGGTCACGAAACGTCTGAGGCCAGAATGTGCCCGAGTACATGTGTAGCCATGCGGGCGCAGCCACTTGGGCCTTCGGTGGGGCTCGCTGTGGGGCCACGAAACGTGTGAGCGGTGTGCCTGAATGGACCCGAATGACCATGCGGACGCTACCACTGGGGCCTTCGGTGGAGCTCCAGAATGATGACGATGTGATTGGTGGTAATGAAGACGGTGATAGCTCTGATGATGGTGATTGTGCTGATTAAAACGACGACGACACTTCATGTTGATTGTACCGAAGATAATACGGACAAGCATGAAGAGGAAGAGGACAGGAGGAAAGAGGGGGGGGAGGAGAGGGGAGGAGGAGAAGGAGAAGCGTGGCGCTGCGAACTCAAAACGAGGGCCCAACACACGCATCCCTGGGAGGCGGGCCCCAGATCCCGGGCCCTCCCCCCGGAGCCGGCCCGCCACCCCGAGCCGTTCTGGGACGGCCTCCTGGCGCCCAGAAGGGGGGTGTCACGGGAGTAATCGGGGGCGGCGGAAGCGCCAGCGGCGAGCGGGGGGGGGGAAGTGAGAAGGAGGAGGCCTTCTCAAAAAGGGTTTGGAAGTTCGAAGTTCGAGGTTTTCGGGCGTTTTCGTAGTTTCTTGACGGTTTTCTGGTCTCAGGATGCGTTCCAGCGGCTACGCCTCGCCGAGAGCGTTTCGGGAGTGCCCAGATCGTCCCGAACGGCCGCTGGAGACCCGAGTTATGACCCGAAAACTGAACTCGGCGGCGCGCCCAGGGGAGGACGTCAGAAGGAGAAGGCCTTCTCAAGAGGCGGCGAGGCTTCTCAGAAGGCCGCTAGCCTTCTGAGAAGTTGCTTGTGAATTCGGGAAAGGCTCAGAAAACTTCTCAGGCGGCCAGAAGCACCCCCAGAGGCACACGAAGGACGAAAAGTCGGCCCAAAAACCTGAGCCCCCGAACTTCGATCCGCAAGCCTCCCTCGAGCTCGTCCTGGGCGCTGGGAAGCAGAATTGGGAGGAGGACAAGGGAGGAAGGATGAGGAAAGGGGGAAGGGGAGCCAAAGAACGGGAAGCAGGCCAGGGAGAAGAAGCAGGAGAAGGAGGCAGAGGAGGAGGAGGAGGAGGAGAAGCAGGGGAAGGAGGACAAGGAGAAGGAGGAGGAGGAGGAGGAGGAGGAGGAGGAGGCCGACACTGCCGGCGACGACGACGGCGACGGCGGCAGCTACGCCGAGGACACCCCGGCGGGCGAGCGCCCGGCACGCTCAGGGCTCGACGCCGCGGCCCCGCGGCGGGGGGCCGAGGGCCAAGGCGCCCGGCTGGCCTCTCGCGGCGGCAGCGGCGGCTGCTCGGCTGCGAGTCTTCGCCCTCCCCATGGCCGCGTACCTCCTCCCCTCCTCCTCCTCCTCCTCCTCCTCCTCCTCCTCCTCCTCCTCCTCCTCCTCCTCCTCCTCCTTTTCCTCCGCCTCCTCCTACTCCTCCTCCTCCTCCTCCTCCTCCTCCTCCTCCTCCTCCTCCTCCTCCTCCTCCTCCTCCTCCTCCTCCTCCTCCTCCTCCTCCTCCTTTTCCTTCGCCTCCTCCTCCTCCCCCTCCTCATCCTCCTTCTCCGAAGAAGGAGGAGGAGCAGGAGGAGGACGGCGACGACGGCCGGTCGAGACAGCAGGGGCACTTCTCGGCGTGTGTTCGCCCATCCCACATCTCCGACGACAGGGCGGTTCAATCCCGCAGCTTTTTTGCGAGTTCGGCCTTCGGGGGCCGTTTTCGGGTGCTAGGGCCCTCGAAAATTGGTCCGCGACGAAAAACTACCAAGCAAAAATCATATCGAAGGACGCTTGGGCATTCAACGGAAAAGGGACCACCGCCACCGAGAACCCGTCGGGGGCGGGCAGGGGGGGGAGGGTCGAGCGTCACCCAGTACCAGACGGGGTCGCCGCCATCCCCCCTCCCCCGATGAGTTCTCGTGGCGGTGGTCTCTGTTTCTCCTCTGACCTGTTGGGCTCCCGGAGGCTTCTCGTCGCCAAGGTCGGATCCGCTTCGAAGAAAATGGTCAGGATGGACTCTGGGCGGGGTGTCTCGAGTGGCCCTCGCCTGAGCTGCGGCAGCGGCAGCGCCGGCGGCAGCGGCCCGAATAACAAAAGCACGAGAAAACAAACAAAGGTCCGCTCGGGTCGCTCGGGTCGGCGCTGCCCCCTCTCTGGCGGCATATCTGTCGCCCCATCGCGCGCTCCGCGCGCCAAGGGAAGGGGTGGTCCCGCGCCTACCCAAGAAATCCGCGGTGACCTCCAAAAGTTGTTGTGTACTTAGTTGTTGATCATTGTTATTAGTATTATTGTTGGTAGTATGATTCGTCTTCTTCTTATTGCTAGTATTGTTTCCGGGGTAGACAGAACCCCCACCCTGACACGCCGATTAGTGAATTGTCCGTTTTCCGTTCTCGAGAGGGCGCCGCGGCCGTCATTTTCCAAGCTTGCGCCCGCCAGGTTTGGGCCCGAGGTCGTTTTCACTAGACAACGTTTTATTAAAGGGGGTTCTATGGATCCCTGATTGTTACAAGTAATACTATCACGATTCTGACTGGCACTATTATCATCACCCTTATTGTTACTATGGTTCTTCTTCTTCTGGCGGGATCTGCGGCAGCGGCGGCCCCCTTCCCTGGGCCACATGCATTCGTGATCAATGTCCCTGTCCTCCTCCGCCTTCTCTTTCTCTTCCTCCTGCTCTTCCCCATCCATAGTCTATGCTCCACCTGCTGCTTATTGTCTTCATCCTCCGCTTACTCCCTTCTCCTCGCGCCTCCCCCTCATCCCTCATCCCTACTGTCCATCCTCCTCGTCCTCTTCCTCTTCCTCCCTTTCCATTTGCTGCCACTAGCACTGCTACCGCCACTACCACCACCATCCTTATTGCGAAGGCCTTACGGCCGGTGCCGCCGACCCTGAATGGCGACGACGACGACGACGACGACGACGAGCGCTCTTGGGGGCCTCTTGGGGGTAGTTTGTGGGCCTCTTGGGAAGCTCTCAGGGGCCGCTTGGAAGCCTCGTGGGGGCCTCTTGGGGCTTCCTGGAGGTCTCTTGGAGGGGGCCTGGGACGTCTTGGAGGCTTCTTGGATTGTTACCGCCACTACCACCACCATCCTTATTTCCACGAGTTGAACAATGCACGGTGGGCCTGACTTGTGTTACAAGTGATTGGCTGGTGCTTCCGGTTTAGGGCCGGTTGCCGCCCGAGGCCGCCATGTGGCCGCCTCGTGCGCCAGCTGGCGCTTCCGGTCTTCAGCCGCCCGTGGCCGCCGCGTGCGCTGGCTGGCGCCTCTGAGTTTTCGGCCGGCGGCCGCACGTTGCCGCCTCGTGGCCGCCTCGTGCGCTGACTGGCGTTGCCAGCCTGTCGGCTGATGGCCGCCCCTTTACCGCCTCTCGCGCTAGCTGCACTCGACCCATTTAGATTGCACCACACCGACTGCACCACGTAGCGTACACCACACAGAGTGCGCCACATAGATTGCACAAAACATACCTACTGTGCACCTGCATAATGTACATGTTCATTCATCGTCTGCCATCTATATAGGTGATACCGGCAAAAATCCAATCATAATATTTGTTGGGTTGTAGGGCTATAGGGCTATAAGTGCTATTGGGCTATAAAGCAATATAGAGCTAGAGGGTTGAAGGGCTATAGGGCTATAGGGCTATAGGACAGGGGTATGGGGCTATATGGCTATAGGGAGGAGGAGGAGGAGGAGGAGGAGGAGGAGAGGAGGGGGGGAGGGAGGGGGGAGGGGGGAGGAGGGAGGAGGAGGGAGAGGAGGAGGGAGGAGGGAGGAGGAGGAGGAGGAGGAGGAGGAGGAGGGAGGGAGGGAGGAGGGGGAGGAGGGAGGGAGGGAGGAGGGAGAGGGGAGGAGAAGCCCTTCGTGCAAGTTGCGCTCCCACTCGGGCGCGGCACGCGGCCGGGAGGGTGGCTGGTCCACTCGGGAGGGGCGGGCGGCTCGCCCCTCCTGCCGCGGTGCATGGGGGCCCCCATGTTGTCGGAAGGAGGAGGAGGCGGAGGAGGAGGAGAAAGGGGAGGAGCATTATACTGGACCAAGAGGAAGAGGAGGAGGAGGAGGAGAAGGAGGAGGAGGAGGATTATACTGTCCAGAGAAAGAAGATGAGAAACAGGAGGAAGTGGAGGTCAAGACTGGAAGAGGATGAGGATTCTACTGGACCTGTCCAGAAGGATCAGTTTGGTTCACCCAAAAGGGGGTTCAGCAGAAAGGGGGTGGTGCAATGTAGTTGGGGTAAGTGTAATGAAATTGCATTGCGCTGGAGACTTGAATTGCACTGTGTTGCAATACATTTGCGCATCGGAATGTTTTGCACGCCACAAATATCTTACAACACCACAAATCGATCGCACCAAATCTAGTGCACCGTCCTCTTTTCGCTGGGCCCCCTTTGTGGGTCACCCCGGAAGAGGAGGATTCTAGTCGACATGTCCAGAGAAGGAGTATATTGGAAGAGGAGGATTATACTGGACCTGTCCAGAGGAAGATGAGGAGAATTATACTGGACCTGTGCAGGAGGAGGAGGAGGAGGAGCAAAAGGACGAGGAAGAGCAAGAGCATGAGCAGGAGGAGAGCCAGAGGACGATGAAGAGGAAAAGGAAGAGGACGCGGAAGAGGAGGAGCAAGAGCAAGAGGACGAGGAACAAGAGGACGAGGACGAGGAGGAGGACGTTGCGATTCGCCCGCCGAGCTCGCAGAGAGAGCTGGCCGCCCGAGCGGCGGCGAAAAAAGAACGCCAGTCTTGCCCGAGCGCCGGCCGTGCGGCACTGCTGCGAAGATAGCGCTCGTGTATTTCCGGTGGTGCGGCGCAGGCTCTCTGCCTGCAGGCCTCACGCCAGAACTCGGCACGCCGTCTTCGCCTCGGCGGGGCACGCTCGTGGGCAGCGCTCATGGGCGTAGGTTTTGGGACGCTCTCGTTGGTTCTGGGCGATATTCCAGCCACGGGATGCGCGAAAGGGGGGGAAGGAGAAGCATGGAACACCAAGACGAGGAGGAGGAGGAGAAAAAGGAGGAGGAGAACGAAGAGGAGGAGACGAAGGAAAGGTGGACGAGGACGAGGACGAGGGGGTTCAGGAGGGGGAGAGGAGGAGGAGGAGGAGGAGGAGGAGGAGGAGGAGGAGGAGGAGGAGGAGGAGGAGGAAGAGGAGCGGCTTCCTCGCAGAAGCTGCAGTAGCAGCAGTAGCTGCAGAAGTGGCAGCAGCAGGTCCAGGGCAGGCAGAGGACGCAGTGCCTCCGATCGGTTCCAGATCCGACGCCCGGGCAGGACAAACGGAGAGCGCGGTGGGCGGGGGAAGGAGCTGGTAGCCATCCTATTGATTTCGTCGTCTGTCCCTCTCCCATCTTCGTTTTCGTGCCGCGCATCGCTGCGCGACCGGCTGCAGAGGTTTTGGCAGCGGCGGAGACGAGACGGGGTGGGGGCCAACGGAGCAGGGTGGGGCGGGAAGGGCAGCGGTTGCAGCCTTCCTCCCGAGCCGAGCCAAAGCGGGAGGCGGCCCCCCAGAGGAAAGGGCCGACCCCCCTTCAGGGCGCGCCTCCCCGACGACCACGTCGACCACGACTACGACGACCGCGACAGCGACCAAAACGAATACCGCAACAGCCGCGACGACCACCACCGCGACGACCCCACCACGACGACCACGACCACGTCCACCACAACGACTGCGACAGCCGCGACGACCAGCACCGCGACCACCACCACCACCACGACGACGATCACCACCACGACGACGCCCACCACGATGACCGCGACGACGGCACGGCGCCGGCGGCGCAGGCCAAGGCCGCAGCCCGCCGCCCGACGGCCACGCCGCGCAGGGTGCCGCGCCCTGCGCACCGCGCGCGCAGCAGCCGCCGAAGACGCCGGAGGCCGCCGCCCTCGGCGGCCCATCGGCGGCCCATCGGCGGCCCTCGGCGGCGCTCTTCGGCAGCCTTCGACGGCGTGGCGGCAGCGACGACGACGACGACGACGACGACGACGACGAGGACGACGAGGACGCCCTCGACGACGATCTGGACAAGGACGACGGCGGCGTCGACCTCGACGTCGACTTCGACGCCGACCTCGACGATGCGTTCAACGACGAATACAATGAGGGCGGCGGCAGCGACGACGGCTGCGGCAGCAGACGCGCCCGCTGCACGGGCGGCCTTGGGCGCGGCGGTCGGATCGGAGCCGGCGTGGGCGGCGACGAAACTCTCGGACCCGCGGCCCCCTCCTCCTCCTCCGCCTCCGCTTCCTCCTCATCCTCCTCTTCCTCCTCCTCTTCCTCCTCCTCTTCCTCCTCCTCCTCCCCCTCCTCCTCCTCCTCTTCCTCCTCCTCCTCCTCCTCCTCCTCCTTCTCCTCCTCCTCCTCCTCTTCCTCCTCCGGTCGTAGCCTTTTTAGCTCAATACTAAGTTGTCCCGAGGGGACGGAGTGGATACCGCTAAGCATCCTTCGGTTTACACCCCTGTCGGGTACTCGGTCGGCAGCGCTGTCTGCGCAACGGTCGGCACACTCATCAGAACCGCTGCTGCCATTCGACCGCGAGTCCATACCCGATGGTGCATGGATGGCAAATAAAACGATGGGCCCAGAAGAAGAAACCTCTGGACGGCGACCCTACAGCGGGCGCTCTTCATGGTGCTGATGAGGACGCGGCCTGATCTCGATCTGGAAGAGGGGCAGGCAGTGAAGGCGAAGGACCCGAGGACCTCGCGCAGGAGACCTGGTGCGACGACCACGTGCGCGATTTCGTCCGCATCGAGATCTGCGAGTCCATCGGCCAGTTCAGGCAGGAGTGCGAGCAAGCCTTCGCCAACACAGCGGCTCCCGCCACCCAAGTGGCCATGTCCCCCATCGACGAGACCCTGCGACGGCTCACAGACTCCATCAAGGCGGCCCTTGGCGAAGCCGCTGCATCATCCACAGCCCGTATTAAGCCCGAGCTCGACGACCTTAAGAAGCCCATCCAAGCCAATTTGACAGCTTGGCCGCCAGGCTAAGCGAGCACGACAAGAAGCTGGACGACCACGACAAGCAGCTCGCTGACCTCCAGCAGCAGATGGAGCAGCTGCGCAAGGACTTGGCACTCGCCAACCGCGCACCACAGCCGCCCAAACCATCGGACAGGAACTTCAAGAGAGAGGTCGACCCGACGATCCTCAAAATTACGGCCTCTGCCCTGGCCACACGCGATGCAGCATCTCAGTCTCCCGACTCCTGGCTCCAGGACTTAGATTTGGTCGGCACCGACCGCATCGAAAGCGAACCATTGTCGAAGCTCGTTATGGCGCAGTTCACGGGGGCAGCTGGCATCGCCGCTCGCCGCGTACAACAGGTTCTTGGTGGCCTCAAAAATAAGGACGGGTAGGGCCGCTTCCCAGCACCAGCAGTGGAAGGCCCATCCACGCAATTACGCGTCGAACCCGACAAATCGCCATGCCAGATCCGCACCGAGATCCAGGGCAAGCGCGTCCGGGCGTGCCTCCGCGAGACGCTCCCAGAGGGCAAGTTCGTCGGCCGCAGCAACAACGGCTGGGCCTCGGGGGGTTGGACGCCACCTGTTCGATTTCAGCCTGCCCCAGGGCGCGAGCTCACCACCGTGTTCTGGAACCCCAAAGGCCCAGAGGAGAAGAGCCGCAAGCGCGCGCAGATTCAAGACTTCACCCACCACATCGTCTGCCAAGATTCCCAACCCAAGTGGGGCCTTTAACACATTCCTTCAACTACAACATGAAGTTTACTGGGGGGTCAGCCACGTCGCCAGCACCCAGGAGAAGCATCGCCTTCGCGACCTGGAACGCTCGCGCACTACCTCTCGAGAAGGCGGACAACCTACGGCAGCGCGACCCCCTTCGCACCTTCGTCGCGATCCAGGAGGCCCACCAGAGCAAGAAGCAGGCCGAAGTGCTCACGAAGGGGATCGCACCACACACCATGGTCTTCTGTTCCTTTACGACCACGCGGACAGGCACCAGGAGGGCGGCGCGGCCATCATCGCGCCATTTTCGGACGCGGCTGCCAACGCAGCAAGGGCGACTATCTTGGCCAAGGCGCGCGCTGAAGGTCGCAGCCAAGGCAGGCGACACCGAGCTCCGCCACTACAACATCCACAACCATGACATCCCACGACATCTTCCTGCGCCAGACCCAGGCCATCATCGAGGCCCTGACTGCCGACGCGGCTTGGGCGCAAGCTGCGCCAAACAGCGGGTTGCCCATCATTGTGGGCGACGTGAACTTCGCAGCGCTCACCCACCCTGATCTGCGCCAACCTGCACGCCAGCCCCTTCGCCAAAAGCACAACAACCGCAAGTGCCGCACCGCCCGTTGGAATCAGGTGCTGGACGAGCTTGTCGATCTCGCGGCGGATGACCCAACCAACATCTGCAAGGACACGGGCAACCGCTCCAGCGCGGATGATCAACCAGTTGGGCATAAATGCTCCGCGGCCAACACTCCCGAGCAGCTCCGCGACCGAGGCGCCCCCGAACACGCGACCCCCAAGATCGTCCTCCAGCTTGGGGTGGCTCGACCTCCCGCCGAGCTGCATCCCCCTGCGGACGCACGCTGGGGGGGCGGACTACGCCGCGACTTTGGAGGGACTGGCCAAGCACGAGGACAGATCGCTCACGGAGAAGTCCCCACCACTCAAGCTGATGCGGCCAGGAGAGCCGATGGTAGAAGCGGCTCTGGCCATGAAGGAGATGCCAACGGTCGAGGTTGATGGCGCGGTCCCCCAGCTCGTCCTGGCCGGGCAAGCAGCACGCGTGGTACGGCGCGACAATTGCAGGCACGCCCGACGCATCATCGATTCTTCGCCCGAGGCTGCCTCGTGCCTGGCCGCCAACCATCGCGAACCCCGAGCTGTTCCATGGCAAGCCAGAGCGGGCCCACTTCCACGCTGCGAAGGGGGGGGCATTACCGCGACCCAGGCGGAAACCACCAAGGCCGCAGGAAAAAACGCCCGGGTGGACGAATGGCGGCCGCAGAAAGTCGTTCGCATCTCTTGGTCCCCGTAGGAAATCGGATGGTGCTACGCGGCGCCAAGGAAGGAGAACGAGTAAACCTGCGCCGGCACGACCAAACACAGGCCCCCACGCGCCATCGGGCCCCGATCTCCACCAAGAACGCCATCGACACCAACGCTGCTCGCAACTACATCCGCCAGCTCTCGGGCCCCCACATCGACATGGACCTGCCCCCGCCCAATGCCAACAACATGGCCAAGACAGTCCGCCGCATGGCCGCAGTCCGCTCAGCACCTGGTGTCGTCGGCCTTCCCTACCGCGCCTGGGCGCCCACCCCGCTCTGCTCTGAGGTCATTCGGGGATCCGCGCTCTGGCTGATAAACGGGGAGCGTCTCCTTCGCTGCTCGGGGGGCACGAAGCAAGCCTTCAAACCCATAGGCGCGCGCGCAGACGACCGCCCCGACGGCGGAGCCGTCCGAGGCCCCAACGAGGTTCGCACGCAAGGGCACCGCAACACTGACGCGAAGCTCATCACAGCGTCGCTCAGCTCGGCCATCTGCAAGCTCGCGCCCCGTCCTCGCAGAGGGGCCTCGCACCTGGCAGGCGCGTCACTGACACCGTCTTGGAGCTGGACCTAGAGTCGCGCATCGCCAGCCCCATGCCGGGTGCTCATGACTAACATCATCGACTGATCGCCTTGGATTCCGGCCCAGCCTTCCCAAGCTGTTCGCAAGACTGTTTCATGATTGTCCTGGAGGAGCTGGCGGTACATACGGCGCTCCTGGCGGCGGATCGCGGCTTGTACTCCTTTGTCACAGCGACAGCGGCAGTGGATGGCTTGTCGGCGCCTCTGTGCGCCATCACCCGTGGCATTATCGAGGGCTGCGCGCTTTCTCGCACTGTGCGCTCTCGCCGCCACCCCATCATCGTCTCCATAGAGGCCGCGCTGGGAATTGTCAAGCTGGGCATGTTCAGAGCGCGCGCGGACGACATTGGCGGCGCCCTTTGCTTCCCCAGCAGCCCACCGAAGCTCGCCAACGCGATGGACCTGGCTGCCTTGCACGCGACCCCCCACCCCAAGATTGCGAAACGCAAGGCAGCGCCCCTGGGGGGACCCGTTCGACCACCAATTGTCCACCACCATCAACCACGCCACACAGCAGGCAGCACCAGCGCGGAAAGACTTCGCCGTCGCCAGTCACACGCTTCACCTCGGCTTCTGGCCGGGCCCCCCCGCTGATCTCGCCCTCAAGTGGAAAGCCCCCCCCCCTCGGCGCGAGTTCAAGTGCCCTGGCGCAGCGCAGCGCTGACTACGACAGCAGCACCAATAGGTAGCAACGCTTGGCTCTACCATTCCCGCGCGATCTCGACACTCAGCTACGCTGCCCAGCTGGCGCCCCACCCCGCAAGTTTCGCCTCCGAGGAGATCCACCAGCTAGTCTAGATACGCAGGCACGCAGGGGCACCATCCGCCCGGTGGACCACTGCGCCCTGCACGAGCAGGCTGGGCCCAAGCCCTCATCAGCAAGGCGCATGGCCCAAGCTGCTCTCGTCCGATCTGCGCTGATCACCTACCCGCGGGCGTCTGAGGTCCAGAGCTGACCCCTGGCCGCCGCCAACAGATGGATGGACGATCGGGCGCTCGTTGAGCTCCCGCCTTCCCCAGGCCTCTCTTTTTGGGGCCAGACCCGCCTTTGCTACAACGCTGGACGAGATCAAGAATGGCATCCTCGACCACAAGCCGCACGCGGAAACCGCGCAAGCCTTTGCAGCGATCAGGGCCAAGCTTGCCACGCCGAGTGCCACATGCAACTACCAGAAGGTTGGCTACGACACTCTGGCTGCAGAGTGGCACCAGCGGGAATTGCGGGCGATTCCTCGACGTTCGCTATGCGGCAGGCCATTCCCACCCCAT